TTAAAGACTTAAATGTAAGTCCTAAAACCATAAAAATCCTAGGAGAAAACCTAGGCAATACCATTCAGGACATAGGCATGGGCAAAGACTTCATGACTAAAACACCAAAAGCAATGGCAATAAAAGCCAAAATTGACAAATGGGGTCTAATTAAACAAAAGAGCTTCTGTACAGTAAAAGAAACTAGTATCAGAGTAAACAGGCAACCTATAGAATGGGAGAAAATTTTTGTAATCTATGCATCTGACAAAGGGCTAATATCCAGAATCTACAAAGAACTTAAACAAATTTACAAGAAAAAAACAACCCCATCAAAATGTGGGCAAGGGATAGGAACAGACACTTCTCTAAAGAAGACATTTATGAGGCCAACAAACATATGATTAAAAAGCTCATTGTCACTGGTCATTAGGGAAATGTAAATCAAAACCACAGTGAGATACCATCTCATGCCAGTTAGAACAGTGATCATTAAAAAGTCAGGAACCAACAGGATGTGGAGAAATAGGAATGCTTTTACACTGTTGGTGGGAGTGTAAATTAGTTCAACCATTGTGGAAGACAGTGTGGCAATTCCTCAAGGATCTAGAACTAGAAATATCATTTGACCCAGCAATCCCGTTACTAGGTGTATGCCCAAAGGATTATAAATTATTCTGCTATAAAGACACATGCACATGTATGTTTATTGCAGCACTGTTTACAATAGCAAAGACTTGGAAACAACCCAAATGCCCATCAATGATAGACTAGATAAAGAAAATGTGGCACATATACACCATGGAATACTATGCAGCCATAAAAAAGAATGAGTTTATGTCCTTTGCAGGGACATAGATGAAGCTAGAAACCATCATTCTCCACAAACTAACACAGGATCAGAAAACCAAATAGCGCATGTTCTCATTCATAAGTGGGAGTCGAACAATGAGAACACATGGACACAGGGAGGGGAACATCACACACTGGGGCCTGTCGGGGGTGGAGGGCTAGGGAGGGATAGCATTAGAAAAAATACCTAATGTAGATGATGTAGGTAAAAATACCTAATGTAGATCTATGATTAACTACATATTTTTACTATCACTCCTGACCTTGCCCATGACCTTGGCTTCACTCGTGCTCTACTCTGGGATTATTACTCAAAATCTCCTCCTTTCCCCTTCTTCTCCTTCCCCTTTTCCTGCAGTGTTCTGACTTGATAATTTAGATGTTGATGGGGGCAGTAAACCACCATGGCACATGTATACCTATGTAACAAACCTGCATGTTCTGCACATGTATCCCAGAACTTAAAGTATAATAATAAAAGAATTGTGTCTTTAAATAGAAAGGCTGAAGATAGAAGAAAGAAATCTGTTGTTAATTACATATTTATACTATCAAAGCAAACACTTGGTCTATGAACTTATGGATAAATGAGTTTATTAAAGCAAAAATTCTTGGCTTTTTCAGACTCAATTTTTCAATAATATTCCACAAAATATCCTCTGTAGTCTATTTTGATGTCATTCCTTTATTCACTGGAGGCAATGTGGAAGTCAATGGCCCCCAACCTAGAAAAAAATCATCAGAATCCCTGGGAGAGTATTGAAAATACGTATTTCCAGGACATATCCCAGACCTGTTGAATCTCAATCTCTAGTGAATGGGCCAGGAATTTCTTTTACTTTTTTTAATCCCTGAAAAGTCTGGTGATAAACCATTTTGGAGAACATATGGTGCAAAAAAGAGCTTTGGATTTGGAGCTGGACACACTTGCACTTGAATCCTGGAGATGCCACTTTCTAGCTGTGCAACCTTAGACAAGTCAGCAACCTGTCTGAAATGGGAACTCATCATAATTATCCACAAGGTTCACATGACGATTGAATGAGATGACATATTTATAACCCTGGACATGATGTGCAGTAATGGCTGCAAAGGCATGTAGGCCTAATGAGAAAGAACCGAATCCTGAACACTTTCCCTGTCCAGAGGATGGCACAAACACTTGTTCTCCCCGACTTCTAGAAATTCTGCTTTGATCATTGCTAATTCTTCCTCCCATAGGTGCCTTGAGAGGCCCCTCTCCTTTGGCCTCCCTTCCTTTTCTCTCCTCCTTTTCTTGCAGTGTTCTGACTTGACCAGCGGCTGCCTCTTCTGCCTGCAGGACCCATTTGCTTTGCATCTTCATGTCCTGCAGAGTTAAGCCAGGGGAACAGAGAAACTCCTCTTACTAGGACTGATCACCTCTCATTACATCTTTGCTAAGCTATGTTAAAAGACCCACTTCCTCCTCTGAGGTGAGAATGGAACCAAAAACCACTTCCCACCACAAATGCAAATTACTACCTGGAACAAGTCTAACATAAAGATGAGCTCTTCCCCTTGTTGTCTCTTCTCTGTCTCCATATCCTTTGCCCTTCTCTTCTTTACCAGGTGTACTTTGAGCTGCTCCAGCAGAAGGGACTGCTGGGTTCTCTCCAGTCCAGGACCAGGGACATAGAAATGGTTCTACAGGGAAGTAGTGGGGGACCCAGGTCATGCTCCCTATTACCAGTGCTGAATATCTAGTATCTATCTTCCACAGTTCCACTCTCTCTTTTTATCCTGGTCACCTTGAAGGCCAAGTTGACTTCCAAATCTGCCCCTTAGTAATATAACAGATCATACCAAAACAAAACCATTTTAAAGTAAATTAGCATGCGCCTTCAGCATTGGACTACAGTGGGAGTGGGGCTCACACTCTGCTGCAGCATCGTGTCCTCGTGGTTTTCCTCCTGCTTCTTGAGCCATCATTTTCCAGTCTCCTTGGCCACCAGCCTCACCACTGGAACTCCTGGAGTCTGCAGTTGTTGGCTCTTCTCTTCTCACTCCTGACCTTGCCCGTGACCTTGGCTTCACTCATGCTCTACCCTGGGATTATCCCTCCAAATCTCCAGCACAGATCTCTCCTTCCAAGCTCCCTATATAACTCAACATCTCTGCTGGCCTGTCTTTAAGGTGTCCCAAACTCAATCTGCTGCAAATCAAATTTGTATTTCCCTTCTACATCCTACCCAAACTAGGTCTTCCTCTGGATTGCCCTTCACAGTGAATGATAACACCCTCCCTCCCTTGCACTGAGGACTCTACTCCACTTCACTAACCATAATGAATCTTATTTGGTCAGCTTTAAATATTTGTAGAGCTCATCGATTTCCCTCCCTCAACCCCAGTCCATCATCTTTGTCCTCAGAACTGATCTCCCCACATTCATAATTACCCCTTTCTGGTTTCCACACTGTAGCCAGAGTGACCTTTTTTAAAAAAAGAAATGTAATCATGTCACTCCTTTGCTTAATGCATGCCAGTGGCTTCCCATTGCTCTTTAGGGACCACCATCTTGATGTCCTGCCAGGCTTCTACCTCACCTCCCCAGCTCATTCCAAGCTGCTGTTTCACTTACTCTAAACAGCAGCCAACCGACTTCTTTCCATTCTTTAACAGATCACGATCACTCTTCACTTCAGGGCTATAGCACACCTTAGCCCCCTTAAAACTCCCAATCTTGCCATTTCTACTGAAAAGGTACTACCTTAGGGCACTTTCTTGAATTGCCTCCCTAGCCCTTTCCCTCCTGCCTTAGTTTGCTAAGCCTTCTGTAACAGAGTACCACAAACTGGGTGGCGTAAACAACACAAACATTGCCTCCCAGCTCTGGAAGCTGGAAAGCTGAGATCAAGGTGTCCCTAGGGTTGGTTCACTCTGAGGCCTGGGAGGGAGAATCTGTTCCATGCCTCTCTCTTGGCTTTAGGTTGTTTTCTGGCACTCTTTGATATTATTCACTGGTTTGAAGAACCATCACTCCAGCATCTGTCTTCATCTTCACATTGTGACCTGCCTGTGTGTGTGTCTGTGTTCTGATTTCCCCTTTTTTATGAGAACATTATCATATTGAATTAGGGGCTTGCCCTACTCCACTATGACTTCATCTTAACTAATTATATCTGCAATGACCCTATTTCCAAATAAGTTCACATTCTGGAGTGCTAGGACTTCAACATGTGAATTTTGTGGGGAGGCACCATTCAACCCCTAACACCTCATTTTTCAGCTTGAGTCCTTCAGTTATGTAGTGTCATAGTTCTGCCCTGCAGATTTTTTCTTCAAAGCACTAACCACAGTTTGTAATTATCACTTGAATAATCACACAAGCAAAAGAATATCTATTATGCATAGATTGTAAGCTCCATGAGGGGCCATGTCCTTTTATGCTGACCATTGCATCCCCATGTCTGGCATGTAGTAGTCACTGAAGGAACAGATCAACTCCATGTTCCCCATTGCATGTCAGTGTAAGAAGACCAGCCTTTGTCTCCCAAACCTGCTTGGTCACTTCTCAGTACTCAGTTTTCTAAGGCACTAAGGGCTGGAGGCAGACCTGTTGATATGGATTGCTGCCCAGTCTTAGTGGCCCCCTGAAACTCCAACACGATCTCTATCAAGCCAAGCCCCTCCTAGAAAAAGACAGCTCTGAGATGTGTTAGACACTTTCATTTTAAATGTGTCTCGTAATCACCAGTAATCACTACCAAAAAGGTTCTCTACGGATCTTTAAAACAGATTGCTTCCCTAAGGGCTGGAATAGTTCAGCTGGGTACCTAAGGGATGTGTAAAATAAAATAACTTCCCAGTGTCTCTTTTATCGCTAATATTCTAAGATCCTGGTGGTTTGATAACTTTGGACATGGTCCCTCAATGCAGATGGAAGAGGATTCCTAGTCTTCTAACTCTCTGACCAACATTTAGATCAATAAGGCACTGGAGACAGTACACTAGAACAATAAAGAACACAGAGAGCTTGAAAAGCCTTTTCCACCAATATAACTATAATGCTGTTAGAATCACCTTTCCTGTATGCTCCCAGAAATAAGTGCTGTTTTTGCAAAGTGTTAAGATAGTTTAATGTCTGGCTTTTGTGTTTCATCATCTCATGGCATGAGGAATGCTGACTGCTCTAAACGTTGAACTTCTAGAAGCTTGAACCCATTGACTTGCCGCGAGTAATTACTTCGGGAAGACTCCTGAGCCAGCGAGAAGCCAGGACAATGCACAAAGCAAAGGTGAGCTGCAGCAGTAACCCGACAGGGAGGTGAACTGAAGGTGGGCGACGCGGGATTGGGGCACTGGAGCACGCTGATCCTTTCAAGCGCTCTCTGCACAGAAAAGTTCAAAGACAAATCAAACTGTTAAGTCGTTCAGAGTAAGAACTTTTCAAAGCTATTTATTCTCTTCTATGCATGCCTCCAACTGGCCGTGGCTTTTACCTCTTGCATGAATTCTGCGCCCTTTCCTGCTTTGTGTTAAAAATGGCATTGTGGATGAGACTTTTACTTACAAATTGTTGATTCTGAAAGTTTTCAAATCTGTGAAAAATTCAGCATAAGTCCTCCCTTTCATTCCTCCCCTCAGTTTAAAACTTGCCCTTTGTTCTCAGTTTGCAGGAGAAATCTTATCTGCAAGTTATTTCTAATTTATTTGCCACAACCTCACCAAAAAGTAATCCCAGGAAATGTCTTCTGTGTATCTTTTCCCTGTTATGCACTTGTAATGCTCTGTTGACTAGAACTCCCCTTACATAGAAATGAAAGCTGGGAGGTAGAAGCAGATTTTCACCACTTTCCACCTCTAATTTGTTTTGGAGCTAGCTAGGTGCTGCTGTGTGGCTGGCTGACTTGGTAAAGATGTCCCGGTACAGTCAGGTCCTCAAAGCCATGTTTGTGATGCCAACAGCATCTGCGGAGATGGCCCCTCCCTGAGTTCACATCAGCTGACAGTCACTATCCACACAGCAACACAAAAGGTGTCACCAAACACATCACCTTTCCTGGCGACAGCAAATGACAAATGAAGGTATGTTCACCTCTGGCTGCCCTCAATAACCGTCTGCACTGTCCCAAGGAGTCTATGATGCACTGGCAGGGAGACATTCAGAGTAACAAATAAGCTCAAATCCTCCCTAAACTGCAATATTCTCCAAGGCTTAGGCTGGCATATGGAAATGTACTCTATAGAAATAGATTCCATTTCACCATTCAGTGGATTCCCTCTCATTTCATAGCCAGCCAATTAGTCAATGGTAGAAGAGGCAGGGAGAAAAAGAAAGGTTTCCCCAAACCAGAACACATTTCTGGGGAGATAACATAAGTATCTGTTTACAAGGGAAGTGATATCTTATCAAAAATGAGATGTGGAAAGATATTCCCTTTTAAGCTTTGAAAAACTCTATAGCAATGTTAAAAACTACATGTATACACATCAAAGAGCCACTTCATTCATTGATGGTGACAGAAAGGACTTGTCAGGGACAGACAATGGTCCGCTTTTGCCATCACAAGATATCTCTCTGGGTTATGACTGATTAAGATCTCACTCTGTTTCAAAAAGGATCTAAGCTTACGAATTGCAGAGTCAGTAACAAATTGCCCCATACTAACAAGTGTGTTGTCTTTCATAGCAGGTGCTGGAAAAGAAAATGCAGGTTCCAATGTACACTTCTGAAAACAGACAATATTTGCATAAGATGCAAATGCTGGAAATGATCCGTAAAAGACAAGAGGTAAATATGAGAAGAGAAAAGTGTTATATTTACCAAATTTTCATCACATAATCACTGCCCTGACACGTGAATATATCAAGCATAGATAGCCAGTCTTTACTTAGCATTTTAAATGTAGTCATTGAGGCTGAAAGTTCAACTACTAAAGCTGAGAAGAATCAGGAAGATTCCTTCTGCTAATAATCTTGTTGAGTCTTTTCTAAGCTTTCAGTCCTATCAAGGATGTATCTGGGTGTCTCAAATCTCCATTTAAAAACAGCTCCTATGACATTCTGGACATAGGAAAATGGGCCTAGATCATTTTTCTTGGTTTAGTGAAAGGGGGAGGGGGTGAGTTGTTCTTCATTCTGTTACCTAGGCCTCTCTCTATAAATCATGCCATAGAATTACCTAATGAGAAAGACGTTTTTTAACAAAACTCCTTTACCAGTAATGCCTGTAACTGTCATATTCCAAATTCCTCCCTCTAGGAAATGAGTCTGTAGTTACTGCTCTCTGCAACTCCAGTCATATCAGCTAGCCTACAGAAACACATTTTATAAGGGTCCTCAAACGAACTGAGCCATACCTTTTTGAGACTGGGCACACTCACCTTTCTCCTAACAAGCCTGTGAATAAAGAAAGTTCCTATACCTTCTAACAGGAAAAGTTAGAAAGTTCCTATACCTTCTAACAGGAAAAGTTAGAAAGTTCCTATACCTTCTAACAGGAAAAGTTAGAAAGTTCCTATACCTTCTAACAGGAAAAGTTAGAAAGTTCCTATACCTTCTAACAGGAAAAGTTAGAAAGTTCCTATACCTTCTAACAGGAAAAGTTAGAAAGTTCCTATACCTTCTAACAGGAAAAGTTAGAAAGTTCCTATACCTTCTAACATGTTCTGGTTAGAAGACTGCAGATGTCTACTACTTGCAAAGTGGCTGATCTGTCGATTTATTCTGGTGAAAGTAGCTTGGGAAGAACATGACCATTTATGGTTGATGATTTTCAGGCCCAAATGGAGTTAAAGGAAAGTCTTCATGGGGAGGCAAGAATTAATAAGCAAAGTCCAAGGGACCACAAAGGCAAGAAAATCCTTCGAAGCACCCCAAGGAATGATGCCCATGACCTTCTAACCATGTTGCCTGATGAAATCTTGAGCAAAGGTCCTGGTGAGTCATGTACATTTTTTTAGTAGAATATTTCAAGTGTCTTTAAAACTTCATCAAATAAACTACCAAGGGAGGGAGCCTGGTGAGAAGACAGCAAACAGCTTTGAGTTCTTGCTGAGATTTTTACTTCCCAGAATATAGTGGGCATGTTGTCATGTAATTTTGGATGGCTGGGAGGAAAAGACAGAAGCTTAAGCTTGGTAATTAAATGTCTCTTTCTTTGTATGGGTTTAATATGCTTTGCATGCATCATTTCAAGCCTTGCCTTATCCCTAGAAGGAGAAAAGGCAAAATGGCCTCATCTTGTGGTTAAACTGAATGAATCACATACAGATACGTTGCCTGTAGTCACAGGGCAAATTTGCTTCAGCAGGTTGGGTACAGAGAAGTGCAGACACTTCTCTCCCCGACTCCACCATTTTCCCTGCAGGTCAACCCTCTTTGGCACATTCAGAACTTCTAGAATCAATCACTGGCCACCCTAAGCTTCCTCTTCCTGATGATCTGCTGGCTCAGTGGGCAAGGCCTCCAATGTCAGTCTTCCCTATCTCCCTACAGCTGGTCAGTCGCCAAGGCCTGCTGATGTCAACCAGCAGTAAAATCTGCCCTTTTTCTTCCACTCCCAGTAGTATTGCCTTAGATCCAGCCCTGGTCCTGTTACACCAAGACTCCAGCCATAGTCTCCTGACTGGGCCCCTCCCCTTGGGTCTTACTCTCCATCAATCAACCCTTCACTTCAATAGCTCTCCATGTGGAGAGCATCACCTGGGAACCTGTTAGGGCCCCAGCCAGAGTGACTGAATCAAAAACTGCAAAAGTTTTTGATTCTGGGTTTAACCACCCCTCCAGGTGATTGTGATGCCCTTAGAGTTTAAGAAACACTTAACTTTAAGTGATTCTTAACTCTATGCGATGATTAAAGTATCACCACAGACCAGCAGCATCAGTATCACCTGGGAGTTTATTAAGAAAGGCAGAATTGGAGATTGTACCCCCAACCTACTGAACGAGAACCTGAATTTTATCAAGATTGCCAGATGATTCTCATGCATGCCAAAGTTCTAGAAGCACTGCACTAACATCAGAGTAATCTTATGAAATTCAAATCTGACCGTTTCACTCTCCTGCTTAGAAAAACAATAATCCTCCATGATTCTTGTCAGCCTGATGACAACATCTGCACTCCTTAACACGGAGCTAAGTGTGGTGACTTAAGCCTGTAGTCCCAGCTACTCAAAAGGCTGAGGTTAGAGGATAACTTGAGGCCCCAATTTTAAAACCTAGCCTGGGCAACATAGCAAGACCCCTGTCTCAAAAAAATAAAATAAAATAAAAAACTCAACATGGGACTCTAAACTTTTCAGGATCTAGTCATTGCCTACCTAGCCTTTCTAGCTGCATCTTCTGCTGCTCTCACACCCAGCCCCACATTTCAGCCGGGCCAAATCGTTCTATACTCTCAGATCGCTCTATGCTTTCTAATGGACAGGTTTGTCCACAACTTCTACGCTACATTGCCCCACCAATTAGAGCCCCATTAAGTTTCCCTTGTTTGTATTTCCCCAGGGCAAACCTACAGTTGAAATTTCCAGTATTGTTCACACACATAGATTACTGTGCTGTGGGCCAAATCCCCACATGAGCAGGACGGGCTGACCACTGAGAGAGCCATAGAAAAGCTGGCTACGTCTCTGGAGGTCTTGAGCTTCTAAAATGCAAAATGGCCTGCTGAAAGAGACACTGCTCCTGCTCAGAGAAACAAGATGCTTAATCAATATGTTAATTAAATAAGAAAGGGCTGAATAATTTAAAATCTACTTGGGGCATCTGTTTAACATATACTCCCAGGTCTCAGAATGAAATATGCTTTGTAGTCACATAAACAATTTTTACCATTTAAACAATACCTTAAAAAATACATGCAAAACAATCAAGAAAAAAAAGCCTCAGCTAAAGTTAGACACTTAAGAGTCATCACTTGAGAGCAGGCCAAGAAAATCCAGCACTGGCTAAGTCCTTGGAAGATGTCTCAGACCTGGAGGGGACCAAGGAGAAACTGGCATGTGGAGAAAGGAGTTTTCCTCTGCTCTCCTGATGCTTCTTAAAGCTGCTTCATTTTGTTCAAGCTAAGGTTTATTGAGTGTTTACTATCAGCCAGGTACTGTGGTTTGCCTTTAATATGCATTCTCTTTTAATTCTCACACAGCCTAGAAGGTAGGAGTTACTGTTTGCCCCAGTGTGATAGAGGCAGGATTCAAGGCCAGGTCTTTTTGACCTGCACTCTCACGCAGCCCCACCAGCACACCAAGGGCTAGAAACTCTGTCAAGGACAGCTTTGGAAAAGTTTGCAAATGTAGGGGTTATGACTGCTTGACCTTATTTTCAAGAGACGGCTGCACTCTGAGACTTCTGAAAGGAAAGTTAAAGAAACTGGCAGACTTTGGAGCTCATGTTCTCCTGGAAGTGACAGTGTAGAGAAGGGAGGATAGGCGGAGTAACTCAGGCAGGAACCAATTCAAGCGCCAGGCAGGGAGGCATAACTGTATCAATAGTGCATAAAAGCTCAGATCTAAACAGAACGACCTGAGGAGCTTCTCAAAAACACCCAGTGTTAGAGCCAGTCATGGTGGCTCACACATGTAATCCCAGCACTTTGGGAGGCCAAGGTGGGCAGATCAGCCGAGGTCAGGAGTTCAAGACCAGTATGGCCAACATGGTGAAACCCCGTCTCTACTAAAAATACAAAAATTAGTTTGGCCTGGTGACAGGTGCCTGTAATCCCAGTTACTCGGGAAGCTGAGGCAAGAGAATCGCTTGAACCTGGGAAGCAGAGGTTGCAATGAGCCAAGTTCATGCCACTGCACTCCAGCCTGGGCGACAGAGCAAGACTTCATCTCAAAACAAACAAACAAACTAAAGAAACACCCAGTCCTGTCTCCATCTTCATCTTACTGAATCTGAATCTCTAGGTTGAAGGCGAAAGAATTTTACTTTTTAAAAGTTCCTCAAGTGATTTTGAACATTAGCCAGACTTAGACGAACTAGATAACCCTTAAGAGCTGTTTCAACACTTCAATTTTATGAGAACTTTTTCTTTGTAACAACTCATGTGCGTGTGTAGATATGTGTGTGTGTGTGCGTGTATAGATACACATGACAAAATGAGCCTAGAAAATGTGGATTTTACTAGCATGAGATAGAGAATGTTAACTCTTCCTGTTATAAGGATATCATAATTAACTAGACTCTCAGAATGACATGTCTGCATCAACTCACTTGCCTATTATTGAAGTTGTTGGAAAGAGAAGGCAAATATCACTGGAAATTTGTTTGATTATGGAGAAATTACAGTGCCTACAGAGGATATCATTCTGTTCTGTGCATCAGTTTTCACTGTGCATGTAAAAGTGTAGGATATCTGGATAACAATGGATACAGCTAGTATTTATCAAGTGCTTCTAAGAATTTTAAATGCATCATTTAATCCTCATATTAACTCTACAAGGTGAAAATTATTACCACCTCTCTTCTACAGATGAAGAGACTGGGTCCAGAGACGTCAAATCTCATGTGCAAGGTCATAGCAGCCAGTGAAGCTGCTCTGGGATGCACGTGACTCAAGAGACAGGGCACCTGACTCCTGAGCCGACAGGCTTCACCTCTATGCTTGGCATTTATCCTAGCGGTGATTCCTTTTTACTTATTCCCAGAGCATCTTTGATTTCTTTCCCTGCCTTCTAAAAGTAGTTCACTTTCTCCTACAAGTGAAGTGTAGCTAAGATCACACACTTACATAAGCATTCTACTATCAGCGTCTGGTCATTAAGGATTCTCTGCAGCAGTCTCCTCTTACTTAATGTCATATTCGCCCTTTCTCGTTCCCCTGTTGAAAGGTGAAATGAAGGTTGTGGCTCTCTTGTGAGACAAAAGTCAGTCGCTGCTTTCTACTGCATCTTTGAAATGAAATCACCTGTGTTTTACATGTATTTTACATACATTCATATAATAAATTACATATTCAGTCATACGACACAAATTATATATAACAAACACATAGTGAACGTCACTCTTCTTGGTGTGCAAGTCTATGAGCTTTAATGTGTTTATGTGGCTCCTACCCTTTGCTGAAAGCCGTGGTATGAAGGGACATAGTGGGTGGGAAGAGCACTGGCACTGACCTCAAAGCGTTTCCCTGAGCCCCAGTAGTGCATCTACTAAATGTAAGCTCCATGAAGGCAGGGACCTTTTCTTGTTTCTAGAATAGTACCTGACACATGATAGCCGCTCAATAAATATTAACTGTATATTTTTCTAAATAATGTTATTCTTGAGAAAGAATATAGCTAAATCCTAGTTATTTAACCTCCATGAATCTCAGTTTCCACATCTGTAAAATGGGAATAAAGCATTATATACCATGTAAGTTTTATGTAAAAATTAACATGAATGAAAGCACATATAAAATGTAATGTATGGCTGGGCTCTCTACAGGCCATGGCCATGCCTGTAATCCCAGCACTTTGGGAGGCTGAGGAGGGTGGATCACTTGAGGTCAGGAGTTCGAGGCCAGCCTGGCCAACATGGCGAAACTCTGTCTCTACAAAAAATACAAAAAATTAGCCAGGATTAGTGGCGCATGCCTGTAATCCCAACTACTGGGGAGGCTGAGGCAGGAGAATTACTTGCACCTGGGAAGCGGAGGTTGCAGTAAGCTGAGATCATGCAACTGTACTTCAGCCTGGTTGACAAAGAGAGAATCTGTCTCAAAAAAAAAAAAGTAAAGTGCCATACAAATGTAAGGGAATATAGACAAAACTGAAGAAGGATAGAATTGATGTCTTATAGTGAAAACACTCATGTGCTTCAGGGATGTGTCACTCTGAATCCATTATTTGAATGTCACCTTCAAAATTCTGGTCTTATCTGACCACCTGCACCGTCTTTCTATAAAGAATCTTGTTCTGTTTTTTGTTTTTTGGTTTTTTTTGTTTTGTTTTGTTTTGTTTTTTTGAGACGGAGTTTCGCTCTTGTTTACCCAGGCTGGAGTGCAATGGCGCAATCTCGGCTCACCGCAACCTCGGCCTCCTGGGTTCAGGCAATTCTCCTGCCTCAGCCTCCCGAGTAGCTGGGATTACAGGCATGCGCCACCATGCCCAGCTAAGTTTTTGTATTTTTAGTAGAGACGGGGTTTCACCATGTTGACCAGGATGGTCTCGATCTGTTGACCTTGTGATCCACCCGCCTCGGCCTCCCAAAGTGCTGGGATTACAGGCTTGAGCCACCGCGCCCGGCCCTGTTTTATTTTTTAATATAGCTCTGAATATGAAATTCTGGGTTTGATATAGTAGTGATACATTTTTCTGAAACATATATTATAAAATATACAACCATCAAACAGTTTTCCTGCTTGATGTGATTCTTCTACTACCTACATCACTTCCTATTTTTCCCACTGACATCTGTTGCTTTCCTCTCTCCCTAAATTAATTTTGGAGTAGGATACACTTTCCTTTACTCGCTCACCTGAAACCCATTTAGGTTTTTAAAGACTGTGTTTTTATTTTTTAAAGTCTATAAACCACAGAGAAGTAAACAAGGATTTATAAAAATGTAACAAGCTATAAGAAATCTAGCTCAGCAGCTCTCAAATTTTAATGCTGTATTCACAAAACTATGTATGTGATACTTTATGAGTGACAATGGATTGATTGTCAAGGACGAAACTAAATATTTGAATTTTGTCTCATACATTAGACCTGAATTTTCATAACATCAAGGATATTGTGGGACTCCAGCTATCATTAATATTTCAGTAGATCCCACCACAAACAAACATGCTCTTTTGTTTCAGAGCTCCTGCCTATAGCTGGATGTTCTAGAAAATTCCTGTTCCCTGAGTGATGCCTCTGGTAGTTCTTGACTTATTTGCAGAGCAGAGATGATTGCACTCTGGAGCCCCAATGAACAGGGCCTTTCCTACGTCCAAGTTACTGACACTGCCCATCTCCCAAAATTCTCTGATTGGTCGGTTGTTTGTTCATTTATTCATCTATTTGTTCACCACGTATTTATTTAGCACATACCAAGAGCCAGGCATTGTGAGGTCGATTCATTGTATGGTGATGAGTCAGACAGATGTGGTTGCTGGTTTGTGGAGCTTGTATAGAGATGTTTAACAAAGATATGTTTAACAAGAGCATAACAGTTAGACCTAGTATCTGTGGAGTCAGGGAATGTTTCCATGAGGAAGGGATATCTACACTGAGATAAGAAGTAGCTGGATGAAGGGGGCAGGAAGGTATGTGAGTGTGAGGACCATGGGTGCTGGAATGTTCATAATGGTAATTAACCAGAGCACGTGCAAAAGCCCTGCAGTGGGAAGGAACACGGATGGACTCTAGGTGGATGAGAGATTCAGAGAATCACTGGAGATGGTCCTGAAAACATGGGCAGGGCCAAATCACACAGGGTCTTGTAAGCCATGTCAGAGAAAAATTTTAAACTCTATCTGAAGATCAATGGGAAGCCACTGATGAGGCAAGATAGTGGCATAAGCAGGTTCATATTTTTAAATTTCACTCTGTCTACACTGTGGAGAACGGGGGTGGAGAGGGGAAAGTAAGAGGATAAAGGAAGAACAATTATAAAGACACAGCAAAAGCGCAAGTGGGAGATGATGTTGGGACCGGGAGAGTAGGGTCATCATGAGGAAGGAGAGAAGCAGCCAGATATGAGATCTTTAGAAGACAGCATGATCAGAATTATCTGGTGACAGGTTAGATGTAAGTGGATGGAGACGGTAAGGAGGCCAGGTGGATTCCTGGGTTTCTCTTGAAGAATTAGGCAGATAATGGAGTAAAGGTAGTACCATTTGCTGAATTAGGGTATTTGGGATCAGAAGCACCTTTCTGAGAGAAAGTGGGGCTCTATTATTGCCAAGTAGACATCAAAGTGGAGGTGTCCGGTTTTACAAAATGTCCTTTGTAGCTTAGGAGAGTGACCAGGGCTGCAGACATAAATCAACGTGGTTATCTGCCAATGCTATCTAAAGAGGCAACTACAATCACTATAATAATATTCAAGGGGAAAAGCCGGTAGCCTCTCACTGAGGCCCAACAAATCACAAGGCATGAATTCTCACATTAAAATGCTTATTTCCAACTCATCAGGGTGTGTGCATTAAATATGCATAGCTTTTGTATGTCAATCATAGTTTAATAAAGTAGTTTTTAAAATATGATGCACAGCACAGGGCAAAAAGAAATGCTTGATTTTCTTATGTAACAGTACACAGCTTCAGATATCAAGGGCTTACATAAACTATGCTGAAAGATTTAGTAAACAATTATCATTAAGAAGACATCAAAAAGTTACAGTCGTTTCAACCATTCTAGTGGGAAACTCTGGGCTTTGACCTAGGATTATTGTTCTAGCTCCAAAGTGATTGGGAAGATTTTGTTTTCTTAAAAGCCAGCTTTCCTTGAACAAAGCTCCTGTTGCTTTCTGGAGTGCATTATAAAGAATGCTGGTCACTGCTTAAATAAAAAGCTAAGGTAAATACAGATGCACATAAATCAAATCCCAAACTAAAAATAAATAGCCTCTTTTAATAAAAAAAAAATAAAGTAAAATAGAATGCCTGACACAGTGAACTTCCCAGTATTATGGGTCTGGAGTACAGTTTAGACATCTGTTTCTAAAAGCCTGCATAGGTGATTCTGCTATGAAGCCAGAGTCGATGTGCATGTCAGAAGTACACATTATATGTCTCGCACATAGATGTTCAATAAAAAACACTAGGCAATGCCACCTGTGTGATATTCTTGCCCAAAATGTTTAACTTCAATTTAATCATAAGGAAACAATAAGGTAAGCTGAAATTTAGGATCATTCTGCAAAATAATTGACCTGGATTCTTTAAAATGTCAGCATTAGGAAAAATGAAAAAGACAATGAAGCTGGAAGAGGAGACAAAAGAGGAGAAACAGTGATGGGGTATAGAGACTGTGAGAGAGAGAGAGAAGAAAAGGGGAGAAGAGTATTCTTCAATTAAAGGAAACAGAGATGAGAAAATAAAATCCAATGTGTGATGCTAGATTGGCTCCTGGACCTAAAAAATAAAACTTAAACAGCAAATAAAAAGTAGCTGTAATGGGGATTATTGTGGACAACCATGGATATTTGAATATAGACCATATATTAGAAAATAGACCAAATATTAGAAAATTATATCAATGTTAAATTTCTTATGTGTAATAATTGTATTGTAGTTATGTAGAGAAAATTCCCTTGGTCTTAAGAGATTTGTAGTGCTATATTTAGGGGGGAGGTGACTGCAACTAATTGTGAAATGGTTCAGTTGAAAAGCATGTATATATATATATATAAAACATTTTTGATGCATATATATGATAAAAGCAATATGGTGGCAAAATGTTAATGTATTAGATATATTATTGTGACTTCTAGATTTAAATCTTTTAAAAAATAACTAAAACAATGTTTTATGCTTACAGAGACACCAGTTGAATTCATATATATGTAACTCAAGTTTATATATATAATTTTTCAAACTATGTATGTATAGTTTGAAAAACCACCAAGCAGATTGTTTATTAAGCTAGACACTTAATAAATAAATAAATCATTGCTAGGAAAAAATTAAATAAACTTTTTTTTTTGTAGGAAATTCACAGAATGCACAATTTTTTAAACATCAATCAGTGAATGACTACTGTCCCTGGAAAACTGGCAAAATGGAAACACGGCTTCATGAACAAGAGACCCAGGGACAGCTTCTCTGGGACAGTTCCAGCTCTGACTCAGATGAGTTGGGGAAAGATGAGAAGAAGCCACGAGCACTGGTGAGGACCAGGACAGAGAGAATCCCACTTTTTGATGAGTTTTTTGATCGAGAATAAGAATGCTATTCATTAACCTAGACACTGAGTGCATTGAAAGTTTGCTTTACTCTCAAAATCTTTCAAACTGATATATGAATTACTTTGAGGAAAGCAAATTACTTTGGTAAAAAGAAATGATATCTTTAGAGCCTTATGGTTAATAGGCCTGTTATATGTGCTATTAACTATTGCTGTATAACTAAGTGCCTCAAAACGTAGGGACTAACCAACAGCCATTTTATTGTCTCACTTTTCTGAGCGTTGCTGAGCTCAGCTAGATGGTTCTTCTGCTGTTCCCTTTTGAAATCTTTCATGTCATTGAAATTGAACTACATTTTGGACAACTAGGACTGGAGTAATCTGGAGTCCCCATTAGCTGGAGGTAGCTGGAGTAATCTGGAGTCCCCATTAGCTGGAGGTAACTGAGATAGCTGGACCTTGCTCCCTATTCATATAGTCTCCGAGCAGCTTCACATGATCTCTTCAGCAGGACACTGCAGAGATTTCTCTCATATGAGCCCAGGGCACCCAAAAGCAATTGTCCCAAGAGGAGGAAATGGAAGTTACCAGTCTTCTTAAAAGATACTCATAGATCTGGCTTTGCATCACTTTCAACAGGTTCTGTTGGTTAAAGTCATAGGCCAGCTTGGAGTTAATGAAGAAGAGGACTACACAAGGGCATGAATGTGGTCCTTTGGGCTCTATCTTTAAGACCTGCCACCTCACCATGGTTTTAAAAGGAAAATAAGATTTTGTAAAACAAATAGATGGACCGGGTGCAGTGACTCACACCTGTAATCCCAGCACTTTGGGAGGCCAAGGAGGGCAGATCACTTGAGGTCAGGAGTTAAAGATCAGCCTGGCCAACAGGGTGAGACCCCGTCTCTACTAAAAATACAAAAATTAGCCAGGCGGCCGGGCGCGGTGGCTCAAGCCTGTAATCCCAGCACTTTGGGAGGCCGAGGCGGGTGGATCACGAGGTCAGCAGATCGGGACCATCCTGGTCAACATGGTGAAACCCCGTCTCTACTAAAAAAATACAAAAAATTAGCTGGGCACGGTGGTGCGTGCCTGTAATCCCAGCTACTCGGGAGGCTGAGGCAGGAGAATTGCCTGAACCCAGGAGGCGGAGGTTGCGGTGAGCCGAGATTGCGCCATTGCACTCCAGCCTGGGTAACAAGAGCGAAACTCCGTCTCAAAAAAAAAAAAAAAAAAATTAGCCAGGCATGGTGGTGCTTGTCTGTAATCCTAGCTACTCAGTGGGGAAGCTGAGGCAAGAGAATTGCTTGAACCCGGGAGATAGAGGTTGCAGTGAACCAAGATCACTTCACTGAACTCCAGTCTGGGTGACAGAATGAGACTCTGTCTCAAAAGTAAAAAATGCTATTTACCAAAAAAAAAAAAAAAAAAATAGACAAAAAAGTAGATTGGAGATAAATAAAAGTGAGTTTCTAAAGGAAAGTCACAGTAACGCTACATTAAACACTAAGCTTACTTAGGTCACTTTAATGTCAAGTGTGCAAGATCATTGTGAATTAAAGTTCAAAATTAAGACTTCTTAGATTATGATGTAGATTTTAGAACTCCTTAAAAATAAAAGGAATCTTATAAATGTTCAATCCAAAAGTTATCCCACTTATAAAAATTAGCTTTTGGGACAATTTTTAAGAACTTTTGTGTAAAATGCAGCTCCATGTTTAGCATAATCCAAAAAAAAGTTTTAAGCAATCCAGAAGCTCCCAAGAATGTAGTAAAGCTTTAAAACAAAGCAAAATAAAAACATTCTTTCTTTGCCCTCTATGGGAAGCTTCCAAAAAGAGAAAAACATAGGGAAAACACCCCTGAATTTGAAATGCAGTGCATTCACATCAGCAACTAAGAAGATAACAAGACCGAAATGTCAGGCAATAAAAATACGTGTTTCTTCCAAGGGCAGAAGGCTATTAGATTATCCCTGGCCATATCTACTCCCAGTTATTGTGAGAACTCTTCTTACTTTTTCTGTGGTAGGCACGAAGCATATTTCAACCAAAAGAACACATACATTGTTTGACTAGCCAACCTTCTTGAAAAAATGAGATTCTTGAGACGATAAACAAATCCAACCCATTTTCATGGTGTCCTCACTTATTGTGGTCAATCTGGAAGGCTTAAAAAACAAAAAGTGGGATGTACAACTTGGAACACAAAAAATAGTGGAGCCAAAGGTACATCTTCACCGTTCTCCTCTGACTTGAAATTTAATTTCACGAAACCCCCTTCTATAAGCTCAATGAACTGTGAGCTGCATGAGGGCACAAAGCATGTCTTCTTCCTGCAGTGTTCCTGCTTCCTAGCATGACAGCTGGCAAAGAGTTCATCATTAAATGTTTGCTGAATTAATTAATGTGTTGAGTTGACTAGTCAATTAGAGAGACACTTGTTTCTCTCCAGCTATGCAGTTGCTCACCCTCATTTCCATCATTTCCCAGGAGTCTTAGATAGACAAGGTTGATTATACAGTAAAGAAAATGACTTTTTTCCCCAAGAGCTGTTGGTATTCATATATCTAAATGAATGGCCTAAATTAAGCATTGCCTTGGGATACAGGAACTATGTGTATTTGCCAATGAGAATGCCATAGCTCAAAATATTTTTTGAAACTCTATCAGAGTGAGTTAGCTTCAAAAGATCAATCCTAATGCCTTCTTTGTTTATTTTGCCAGCTCCATGTAGAACTCTTATTGATGCAGTTATGAATTCAAGGATTTTTAAGGGGTAATAATTATAAAAAATAATTGCCAATGTGTATGGTCTGTTTATTGTGGGCCAGCCATTCTTTAAATGCTTTACACATTTAATCCTCACAGTGATTTTTTGGGTCAGTGTTAATATCATCCCCATCTTAAAGATGAGGAAATTGAGGCACGGAAGGTTAAGTAAGTTGCCAGAGTCACCTAGCAGAACTTCCCTTTGGAGTAGACCATTGTTTACCAAAAGTGACCTGATAGAAGCCAAGGACTCTTTCCTCCTTTCCTCAATTTTACTTCTAACTCACTGGCTACATTACACAGCATTCTGTATTTCTTTTGCAGTACATGGTGTGGTCCCTTTGGAAGGAGCGGGGAAGAGATAATAGTACACTAAAAAGGGTGAGAGCTTTGTGGAATTATTTTTTAGCAAGGAATAGCTTAACTGAGAGCCAAACTGCAGGCACAGAGAGGATAAAAGCACAGGAGAAAGGCAGGTAAGAGAGTAAAGGAAACCTTAACTGTCTTCCCAATTTGACCTAGGGAATCAGTCCCCAAACTTTTGGCACCAAGGACCAGTTTTGTGGAAGACAATCTTTCCACAGATGGGTGCGGGGGATGGTTTCAGGATAAAACTCTTCCACCTCAGATCATCTGGCATTAGATTCTCATAAAAAGTCTGTAGCTTAGATCCCTTGCCTGTGTAGTTCACAATAGGGTTCACATTCCCACAAGAATCAAATGCCTCTGCCAATCTGACAGGAGGTGGAGCTCAGACGGTAATGCTCCCTCGCCCACCACTCACCTCTTGTGTAAGGCCCAGATCCTAACAGGCCACGGACTGGACCAGCAACCGTCCACAGCCCAAGGGTTTGGAGACCCGGGCCTGGGGGCAGCACAGGTGAGTATCCCACCGGAAAGCCCCATCCAGGTGGATCCGTTGCACACCGTGACAAGGACTCAAGAGCCAAATGAGAACCACCTGTCAAATAATCAAAACCTAATAGCAATCAAGATTTCTGGGCCCCACCTTTGATTTACTGGGATTGGAGTAGAGCTCTGGCATTGGGTTGTTGGTTGGTTGGTTATTTTTTTTTTAAGCTTGCAGGTGAATCTATCACGCAGCTAAGGTTGAAAATTGCAGCTTTAGTAATATGAACATTCTATTTTACCAGATTATATCACCTTCTGTCTATAAAAGAAAGAACTTCTGAGGTAATTTTTTGCAGTTAAGGACATTAGGCCTGGAGCTGCACAAAACAGCAAGAGAAATGTTCATTTTGTAAGCAATTTTCTGAGAACACCAGTCCTACTGTTAATCTCAAATTTGTTCAGGGCAATGTACGGCCATCATAAACACAGCTGTTGCTGATAAAACTATAAAATTCAGCCTGGAAGCAAAGTTGTCAATTTTCTTCAGCTGAAAATCTTTCCAGCTTTGGAAAGAAAAAAGGCTTGTCTAGGACTAAATGCATACTTTCTGCTATGAAAATAATATTTTTCTTCTTGCTCTGAATTTCTCATAAGAAAGATAAATATCTTTTTTTCCTTAAATACTTTTGGAAATATATTTTTCTCAATTTTTTTTTCAGGCAGAGTGCTGTTTTTCATCATGTACTTATTTTGATGATAATTCTGAGTTACTGTACTGGGGTTTAACTAAAGATAGCTTTTGTAAAAACCACCTATGATAGCCTTGTAAACAAATGGACAATGTCTTCTGCTTACATAGAGCCTTTAAAAACAGAAAATAGAACCCCAGCTCTTTGGACCCTCCCTTTCTTACCACAGAAACGTAATGGTCATCGAATTATAATTAACATCAACTATTTCCTGTTTTGAATAAAAAATAAAAGCCTATTTCCACATATTACTGAAAAACCTCACCAATTTAGTATACTACAGGGAAGGCTTGGGAGGAAGTATGCTAATGGGCAGGCTTTAGAAGGTCAGACCAGCCTTGGAGCAGTGGCTCACACCTGTTATCCCAGCACTTTGGGAGTCCGAGGCAGGTGGATCACAAGGTCAGGAGTTCGAGACCAGCCTGGCCAAGATGGTGAAACCCCGTCTTTATAAACAAAACAAAACAAAAGGTCAGATCATTAAAAATCTGAATTACATCTCATTTTAAAAGAAATGCTGCCGGGCGCGGTGGCTCAAGCCTGTAATCCCAGCACTTTGGGAGGCCGAGGCGGGTGGATCATGAGGTCAAGAGATCGAGACCATCCTGGCCAACATGGTGAAACATCGTCTCTACTAAAAATACAAAAAATTGGCTGGGCATGGTGGCGCATGCCTATAATCCCAGCTACGCAGGAGGCTGAGGCAAGAGAATTGCCTGAACCCAGGAGGCGGAGGTTGCGGTGAGCCGAGATCACGCCATTGCACTCCAGCCTGGGTAACAAGAGCGAAACTCCATCTCAAAAAAAAAAAAAGAAATGCTATTTCATTCAAGTACAGAAAACACAATAACACAATTGGAAACTAAGTCAATAGTTAAGAATTTTTTTAAGATATGTACTTTATAATAAGTCTGCAATTTATTCATTCATTCATCATTTAATCATGTATTCAACAAGTGGGTTTGAGTATCTACTATATGCCAAGCACTGTTGCAGATGCTGAGACTACAGCCATGAAAGACCCTGCACCCATCCATGGGTTACATTCTAGTGTAGGAGATCACTAGCAGGTAGTCAAGTACAAGATAATACAACTTCATGTAATGTTAAGCATGATTAAGAAAAATAAAGCAGGTAACAGGGTAAGCAGGGATGGAGTGAACTGCTTGGGGCAGAATGCTCAGGGAGGGACTCTGAGGAAGAACCACGGATGAAGGAAAGGTGTGAACCATGAGAAGATCCAAGGAACAGGCTTTCCAAACACCGGAAAAGCAAGTGCAAAGGTTCTGAGATGAGAATGAGCTTATAAGGTTCAAGGCCCAACAAGAAGGCCAGAATGGCAGAGCGAGCAAAGGGGAGACCAACAGGGATGATGTCAGCAAGCTGGTCAGGGCTCAGATGTGAGGAACCCAGAGGAGCATGGTATGACAGTGGGTTTGAAGTATAGTACAATTTGAGAGTCAGAAGGGACTGCTCCTGGTCTAAACTGATATCTCCAATATGATCATGAACAAAGGCAAACAGACCAACTAAAGTCACATGGCCATAGCTACGTAACCTAGAGCTGACCCTGAACCCACCAAGCTAATCAGAGGGGCCTTGATTTCTGCTGGTGGCAGGAGGTTCAGCGAGGAAGCTCGGGAGCAATGGGTGGCAGTACTCTGCCCTGTAGGCCAGAGATGCAGAGAATGCTGACCTGTAGCAGAGAATCAGAGACCCACTGAGGCCCGACAGTACATCTGTTTCTCATTCCCAGCCCAGCCCAAGGCCCTGCTGCCTCCTGCGTCGTTCTGAGACTGTATCCCTATCATAAATTGCACTTTCTGCTTGAAACCAGCTCTAACTGATTTCTGCTTCTTAAAATCAAACAACATCAACTAATAGCTATCTTAAGCAGCAGCCACCTCCTTGCCTCATTACACAACACCAGAGGCTGTGGTGTGCTGGAATCGGCATGAGTGGCCAGCACCGGCTCTCAAAAGGAACCGTGAGGATCTCTTCCCAATCCGTGTTCAGCGATGCCATGCTGGCCATGGTGGGAATATTTACATCAGAAAAGTGAGTAAATGTTGCAGATCAGGGTTTTTTTCAGAGAGTTGATACTAAGCATTTACTGACACATGTGGCTGGAAGTAAGACCCACCAGGCT